GTATCAGAGCCTTAATTCGATTTCTGACCCTTTATTACATCTAGATGAGTCAGTCATTATCTGTGCCTCCGTTTTTCGACTGAAGCAACTATGCCTTCTGAAAAGTTCAAATGAGAGTCTTCCTTAAATCTTTGGATGAACGTATTTAGATTAGCATCCAAAATGGGTGGGCTCCACCTTCAACAACTGATGTTGGTACAGTCACACCTACTGACATATCTCTATGGACTAAAACTAACCTAGATGAATGCAACTGGGACAGTAAAGCATTACATGCTCAGTTCATAGCTGTATCTACTGAAGAGGTTAGGCGAGTGTCGATGTGTGAAACTGTTAAAGAAGTTTGGGATATTCTAGAAACCACACACGAGGGTACCAAAACTGTTAAGAATTCTAAACTGCAGATGTTAACCACTAAGTTTGAAAAGATTAGAATGAAGGACGATGAATCGTTCGATGAATTCTATGCGAAACTGAATGATATAGTTTGCTTTAGCTTTAACTTAGGTGAAAGGATCCCCGATACCAAAATAGTTAGAAAAGTCCTTAGATCGTGAAAGGATCCCCGAGACCAAAATAGTTAGAAAAGTCCTTAGATCCCTACTTGAGAGATTTAGGCCTAAGGTGAATGTGATAGAAGAGAGCAAAGACTTAGATACAGTTAAGATAGAAGAACTCGTAGGATCACTTCAAACTTATGAACTCACTATCTCTAACCTAAAAAGGTTAAATCCATCGTCATGAACACCATTAGAAAAGAGGAAAGTGAATCCACTGATACTGAGACTCTTAGGGACAACGAAATTGCTTATTTCATTAAAAAATTTCAGAAGGTGATGAGGAATAGAACAATACCTCAGGAGCGAAATAATGAAGTTCCTAGTAAATTCTTGAGAGGTAGACGTGAGAAAAACACCTCTACGATTCCCGTTAAGAAATCTCAATCTGTAAATGCCAAGAGTGCAATGGGTATAGCCACATTAGGAGTGAATGTCTTAATTTGAAGAGGAGTTCGGGTATAGAACGTTTGAATACTTTAGCTGTGACCATGAGTGATGATGAGTCAGAGACTAGTTCTCAAAATGAGACTTCTGGTGATGAGGATAATCACAAATTCATGGCCACCTCGATTGCTATAATCGAACTTGACCTGAAATTGAGAAGGTTGAAAAGGAGAATGAAAGTGAACAGTCTGAAGAAAAATCTGAAGATAAGACTGACATTCACGAGTCTTATCTTGAATTGTTTGATGAGAGTCTCAAAATTAAAAAGGTCAACAAAGCCGTCTTGAAAAAAGTGAACGAGCTTGAACTTGAACGTGAAAAATTACTAAGTGGCCTTCAGGACTCGACTAGAGAATTGTATGAACTGAAGCTAGTAAATGAAAACTTGAAAATTAAAGTTAAATCATTAACCATTGATCGTGATAAATCTAATGCTCAACTCTAACTGTTTATGAGTAGCTTGCAAAAGCTGGACAATTTACTTGGGATGAACAAGCCTACTGGAAATAAGAATGGTATGGGTTATGTTCATAATAGTAATAATTCTACAAGTACGTCTAAGACCGCATTCGTTCGAGCCACTAAGGAAGCTCGAAAAATTGTTTACCCTGAACCAAAGGCTAAGAATGACGTAGGATCTAGACCTACTAGACAACATAGGGTAAATCGTCTTACTTATCGACAACAACCACCGAACAGGGTTGATTGTAGGTTTATTTCCACCTGTCACCGTTGTGGTGCACTGGGACATACAAGACCTAGGTATCGTAAACTCATAACTAGGAGTAAAAGTTAGGATGTCTCGAGCACAGTTAACTTCCTCGCTAATCAGGTTAGCCATTTAACAGAGATGATGACTCGATTAACTAAAATTACTTCTACGTCTAAATAAGCTTGGGTTAAGAGAAGTGATCTGGAAGGTCGTGAGCTTGGTGGTACTCTTAAAAGTGAGATCATTCATGGTTCTTCGTGATTCGATCCTTAGGTGCATGCATATGCAGTCCATTGAGTCCATTCATTTGTGCATGCATCTCATTTATTTGTGCTTTGTTTTATTTCGTGTGTATTTGTTTCTTTTTGACATTGATGTTGATTTTTTTATTATTTAAAAAAAAAAACATTTTTGAGCTCTAGACAGTTTATAATGTTCTTCAACATTGCATGTGTAATCGAGTATGTCGTTATCAGATCTATACTGTTATTTCCATCACTTGGTTCAATTTTCTATGGAGTATTGAATATATGTTTCTCCATGTACCATCTGTACAGCACACACTATGATCTTGTGAGTGAGTCTGGACCGCGTGTGTGAGATTTGGGATGGCCGTCACATGTTAGTAGGGTGACCTCGAACGTGAATTGACCAATATCTAGATGACCTACCTCGTGATGAGTCTCCCTGCATTGTTTAGAAAAAAAATGAAATGATGAAATAAAAAAAAAAAAATAATAATAATTTACACACATATTTGACCTTTTGACCATTTTACCATTTTAACCGGTTTGACCTTTCGACCATTTTACTTTTATGGGTCAATGATCGGGTTGGTTTTGTAAACATTTTGAATACAAAGGAAAAATTCGTATTTATGGCCATGTCCATCCATCCAAAGGTCATGACTCTACAAAGAGTTACATTTTCCCATGCAAGTGAGAATTATGAGAGAAATACATGCTCTTCGTTATATGTCTTTCCAACTGAAAAGAAAGCCATTTTCAAATGATATAACCATTTCGATTAAATGACACAATAATTTCATAATATTCTAAAATTTATTTTATGTTTCATTTTTTCCTTCCTTTAATGAAGACAGTTTCTTCATTCTCGCCTCTTCCTTTTTGTTGACCTCGAAAAAATATGACGTTTACGTGGACAACAGATGTCGGGTCCACTCCCGCCAACTCATGCAAATTTCGCCTCATTTTGATCGGAAAACTGGTGAATAGCAAGACTCATGTGAACGCAGGAGATGCTCTACGGCAGGAGACAAAAATGTTAGAGCCCTGATGGGTGAAACAAGGATAATTGCGCTAACAACAATTATCAATCGAATGCTAATGGAAACCAAGTAAAAGATCCAACAAAAAAGGGTAAGTCTCTAATTTGTTTGATAATTAGTCGTGACTCTTCAAATACAAAAAGGTACATATTAAAAAGTCATGTTGTTTCGAATTTGGTGTGACTATCCAAAAATATAAGTAATTAAAAGTCATGACCTTTTGATATGGTGCAATCCATATCAAATATGAAAGGTATGATCTAATGGTTCAACTTAATTTATCTCAAAAGACATAACCATTTGTGGGAGGTAGTGTTTATTCGAACTAGAATTTGAAACAACTGAAAAATATTTGAAATGATAAAGTTCACGGTAATTATTACATTATTAAACGTAAGAATCACATGACGTTGAAAATTGGATATCTAATGGAAAAATTCAAAATCTATTAGTAAATATGTTTTATTATTGAGAGTGTAGTTGTTTCGTGAAAATTCTCCGAGAATTGAAAGAAATTAAAGCTTTCAACAAAATTAGAAGGAAGTATGATGGCTTCAAATTTTTTCGAAGGTTTTTGTGATTGATGACAATTTGTGCTTGTTATATCATTTGATCGATATAGCTAGCAACAAAATGAAATGTTATAGAATATAGTGTAAATATATACATAATATGTGTTATCATTTGATAGTTGCTGTCAAATGGAACAACTCTAATTGATTTATGGAAGGATAACCTAGGAGATCCATTTACAAATAGTTATCTAGAGAGAATAGACTTTGCATCCAGTGAACTAGGAGCCTAAAACCTATAAGATTGGAGATCACACAGACTAGATTTAATAAGAAAAATTATTATGAATAACTCGATAAAAAGTATTTCAAAATTTTAACTCCTTCTCATTTCTATGTTACAAATAAGACTGCCTACCAAAGATTGGTTAACATAAGTTATGCTTTTAATGATGATTGTATCTTGTAAATAGTAAAAGTAGAGTATTGTAGGGTACTTTCAATAGAACATCACATATGTGAGTCAAACTTAGCTAGGTCAATGAGAATTTTACTTAAGATGAGTTCTTAAGCACACTTATAGAACCAAGAAAGTTTAGGACCGAAATAGTAAATACAATAGAGAATCAAAGTTTGATACGAGAGCTAATGTATCTGACCTATTGTCTATACACTACAACAAAAATAGTCATTTGCAACATTAAAAAGGCAACATTTGTCAACAAATGTTGCCAAAAGGGTCTTTTCGCAACATTTTAGTAGGTGAATGTTGCCATTGGTATTAATAAATGAGTTTTGGAAACGTTTTTTATAAAAATGTTGCGATAAA